CAATTGTCTATTTTATTCAATTTATATATTTAACTAGATTTTCCTTATTATTTGTAAAGAATTAAGAAAATACCAACTCGAATTACACTTCTGAATATTACGTAACAACATTTTTACGAGATGAGTGCATTCAGACTATCGCAGATTATAAAACCGTAAGTTCATTTCTAAAACAAAATCTGTTGTGCATTTATTGAAAAATACGAGGCTAAAATTTCTCATCAAATCTCCCTCAACCTTTTCTCTATCTACGAAGACCCCATCAAAATTATGATCAGCACTGTCTTGATTTACTAACTTAGCTAATGTTGATTTGAGAGTTTTGAAGCCAAGTTCAATGTTCGTTTGTTAAACTAGACAAGCTGACATCTTTCACATATCCTAATCCTTTTCAGTTCCAGGTTTAAATCCAGGTGCACTCCTAATTTCCCCCACCTTCTTTTACATTGAACGTTTGTTCCTACAGCACAACTACTCCAACGAACTTGCAGACCCTATCAAAATTATTAACGACGAATTTTATTATTATTATTATTACTGAGTGAGAAAGCATCATACCAAAAAAAGGTAAGATGCTAAAATATATGCCATATCCACAAAAATATGTGCCTCACCCAATTTGATATGGGTGACATAGGCTAATTTGCACAGTGGAGTGAAAGGTTTTCATTAAGCCAAAACATAAACTTACAGGTGGATCCAGTTAGAAAGACCTATATGTCGCGCCTTCGAATACATTCAAGTCTTCTAGATATCTCGTTTTGCCTGATTCCTTCTACAAATAAAAAAAAGATATAACAGACATTCATCTATGGTATTTGACCATGATTACTACTCCTGAACAAAAATACGCAGTGCGTCAGGCCTTAGGCTTAAGGTCAGACAAGTAACAAACAAATTATTATTAGTTGTAAAATAGTAATCGGAGTAGGTGTAGTAGTATCTATCAAAGGCAAATGCGTACAAGGCAATTTACGTGCAAAAAATATGAAAATACTCACCGACATTGCTATCGCAAACTATCAAAGCTCTTGAAAGATTGTTTTCTATGAACAATGCACAGACATTCTGTTTGATAGTGGGTGCGATAGTTCTGGCAGATCTTAGATCAAAGATTTTTTTTCCTTTCTATTTAATGGAAAAGAATTCCATCATCACACCCGAGAACTCTAACAGATTGGGAATGGGTGGATGAGATTCGTTCACATAATGACTGAAAACACTGCGAGGAACCTTCAATGTTAAATATCAGAATAAAAATCGTGAAAAGTGCCGACAGGATTGTCGGAGATTTGATGAGATCACTTGCAACTGCACAACAAGTAAACATTTAATAGTGTGAATATACAACTAAGTATATCAGGCGAACGATTAGAATCATAATGAATGATAATTCTTAATTTAATAATGACATAAGCTCTTTGCGAGAAATCTAACTATAAAATACTCATGAGAATTGCTCTTTTATCCTGCAATATATTTGAGTCTAAAAACCTTAAAATGATATCGCAACAGAAATTAAAGGTATGAATGCAGGTTATTATTTAAGGACATGAGAGGGTACGTATAAAAAGATTAAAAAAATAAAATGGTTTCATTTCACTGAAACTGACGTTAAAAACATGAAAGCTTTGTTGTCTATCTATCTATCTATCTATCTATCTATCATAGCCTAGCAGCATTGCTCGGCGTTGCCCGTGCTTGATTCAAAAATCGTACGACTCATACAGCAATCGTTATCATTTGACTTAAAATATTTTTGCCCTTCCTTGCCTTTAAAGGAGTGCCCTTGGCCGTGCTGATGTTGCTACATGCCTTACTTCTTGCCCATCTCACACTGCGAATTTTTTCTAAGCTCTAAACTAAACATTAAATCTGTTACGAAAAAAGGACAAAACAAAATTAACTCAAAACGATCAGCTTTAAAAAATGACTCGTAACTGGAAAAACCGAATGAAAAAAGAATGTTAACAACAAACAAATACTTTTTCATACCCAAACCAATTCTGCGGAATCAGAATCAACGTTGAGTTTAAGCAAGCGAATGATCCAATTGGAGTAAAGCGCCATGCAGATTTAAATTTTTCCCATTTGTGACGAATGCAGCTTTCGATGTTTTTGGATGATAGCATGCCAGTTTACACTCGTGTCAGTCAGCTGTTGGCTCTCACGCTGGTCAATAGAATCTTCCTACCTATTTGTGGTAGCCAGCTATTGGCTCTTACTCTGGCCAGTACAAAATGGCCGCAAACTACATGACAACTGCCGTAGAAGTATGAAAAACCGATTATTTCCACTATCGATGTGAGTTAGGAAATGCAAAGTTGGTATTGGACTTTCCGCTAACTTGGAGCATGTGCATGTAAATTTTGGTGCAAATCCGTCGAAGATTGCGCCCGTGCATTCGTTACGCACACACACATCCTGACTTTTATAGATAGAGATAGATATATAATCTATCTGTTATAGATATGTAGATATAATATATCCATAATATACCCATCGCTCTCTCTCTCTCTCTCTCTCTCTCTCTCTCTCTCTCTCTCTCTCTATATATATATATATATATATATATATATAATGCAAGACTTAGTATGATATAAATATAGTTTTAAGGTGTGCTATATTTATGGGATAAAGTGCTCAATATCAGAGATAGGGCGTATGTAAATATAAACATAAAAGTGAACATTGAATTCAAAGCTCAAAGGCGACAGGCTGTTTCATGCTAGGCGCAATCGTCAGCCTGAGGATTGCTTCTGGCATGAAACATGAAGTCGCCTCTGAGTGTTGACTTCATTGTTCACTATTATCATATATATATATATATATATATATATATATATATATAATAATAATATAATGTTTTAGTAATCTATGTGAACAATTCCAAAAGATGATGTAATCCAGAGAGCCCAATGCAACAGCAGAGCAAATATTAATTAAATAATTAATAAAAAGACAACCGTAAGCTTCCATGACTATAATTTATTTCCCCATAAAATATATTTTCATGATTCATCAGGTCACAGTCTCAATATATATATATATGATCTTTCCTCACGATCAAAACGAATTTGCTTATTATTTACCTGTCGAAATGGTAGAGTGTAACACACTGACTAACTAACTATTGCAGAAACAAATATAATTATGGAAAATGAGTGGAAGTGAATTTAAAAACGGGTTTGCAATTAACTGCAACGATAATACGTTGACATAATGATGTAATGAGGTAACTATATAGCAGAAAGTCAAGAATAATTTACCACGTCGAATCAAAAAATACATTCAATTATGAGAACGCTTATAACCCGTTCTCCCTTTTTTGCACAAATATCGACGCTTTTTTCTGTATTGAGTTATCCAAATACGACCAACAATCATTTCAACACAAATACAATAAAACATGGGCGGGGTGAAAATCATGAAAACTAGCGAGTCATACAAATCAACCGCTTGATATAAATTAGATTTTGGTATTAGTTCCGACATTTGTTAACAATAAAAAGGGTTGATTAATGTCAGTTCATTTCTGTATCGAAAGGGGAGGATTGTATTCAGTTAAAATGTGCATCTGGTTACTTTCCCTTGATAACATCAGCACTAATAATGGCTACCGTTGCCAAACACGTTTGTAATTGGCACATGATCACTTAACATCAGAAATAAAGAAACGTCCAAACGAACCCATGTAGTCTTTATAAAAGAGATTAATTTTCAATCTAGTAATTGAGTACATATCGCCGGAAAGTTTTTAGTATTATTAACATTAGTACAATTATGTTTATCCTTTCGAAAGCGGGAAATGACTCAGGGATCGATCACTAGTAAATATGACCAATAATAATATTAATAATTAACACTCAGCTTTCGACCATTTTAGTTTAGCATTCAACTGTCTAATTATTACTGTTATCTGCACAGGAAATGTTTCATGTCGTTAGAGCTTTAGATGAAATAACAAATATATTATCAAAAAAACAATCATTAGAATCAATTTTCAACAAAATCTTGCACATTAAGGGTGTTTAATTACTTATTAGGTATATATATATATATATATATATATATATATATATATATATATAAATTTTTCTCTTCTCTAGGCTTCAGAAGGAACTAAAATTTAAGAAGTGGGCTGGCAACACCGACTGCAGGCACGCTGATGATCGACTAGGCCGATACAGGACATGCAAGTCCCCCAGCAGCGACTGCAATTAAAGGTCTGGTCTGCTATAGCTGCTGAGGCTTCCCGGTCCTTCCTCCTGTAGCGTTTCTCCTTCAGGTTGGCCCTGCAAGTGTCCTCAAAGGTGGAGACGGCCTGGTGGACGCTGCAACGCCAGGTTTGACAATCAGCCGCAATTGTCGAGCACTTGCGATGTTCAATGTGGCAGGTACCGAGGGACTTCATGAGGGAGTCATAACGCTTCCTTGGCGCCCCCTCCCCCCTGTCACGGTGGCCAGGCGGAGAGTACACAATACAGGGATATCTTGTGCAGGCGATGGTCACCCATTCTGGAGACGTGCCCTGCCCAGCGTAGACGTGACCTCACCAACATGGCTACAAAGCTGGTGATTTTCGCCTGTTCGAGGACCCCAACGTTGGTAACGTAGTCACTCCAGTGAATGTTGAGGATGGTACGTAGAGATCGCTGATGGAAGCGCATAAGGAGTCGTAGTTGGTGGCGGTAGGTTACCCACAACTCAGAGCCGTACACACGACTCCGAGTAGGACGGCTCTATGCACGCTAATCTTAGTTCCAGCCTCTTTTGTAAAGACGACCGAAAGCGCTGTTTCCCTTGACTGTCTGTTGTCTACTTTCCTGTCGATCTTGCCATCCGATGGGGTGGTAAACCTTAGGTAAGTGTAATGGTACTGCTTTCAGCTCAGTCTCACCGATGGTGATGAGGGCGGTAATTGTCTCGGGGTGTACACTCGTGTAGAACCTCTGTCTTCTTCAAGCTGATCTCGAGCCGGCCAGCCTTTGCAAATCAGGATGTTAGGCGCTGCAGGGCTCTTTCGGTGTGGACGACGAGGGCAACCTCGTCGGCAGAGAGGAGGTCACAGTACAGCTGCTCAAGTGTCTTTGTCATGGCCTGCGGTTAAACGGACTGCCGTCAAGGCGGTAGCGTATGAACACAGCATCATCATCGTCAAGGTCGTCAGTGGCCTGTTTAAGCATCATGCTGAAAAAGATGCTGAAAAAGATGCTGAACATAGTCGGTGCCAGGACACAACCCTGTTTCACGACGTTGCGATGGGGAAGGATACGGATAGGTCGCTGTTCAACCTGGCATGATTTTATTCCTCAGAATCGTCATTCAACTGCATGACTATTTTGAGGAACTTTGATGGGCAGCCGAGGCGCTCCATGATCATCCAGGCACCATTTCTGCATACCGTGTCAAACACTTTGGTCAAGTACATAGACCTTACGTACAGATCTTTGTTCTGCTCCCGGCATTTCTCTTGAATCTGCCTGAGGACTTTGATGCACCTTTTGGCTCTGAAGCCACAATAGGTTTCAGGTAGGTGGCCTTCAGCGATGGTGACACTAATCTGTTCAGGAGCGCACGAGCAAGGATTCGGTCAGCGGTGAAGGGGGCCTGGGAGTACTCAGACCAACGGCTCAGGATGAAGGTTTTGTCTGTGAAAAGCACCCACTTGGTCAGATTGAATTTTTTTCATGGGGGCCTTCTTTGGTTTGTATTTGAAGTGCAATCTAAGTTTGCAGCGCAACAGGCGATGGTCGGTGTAATATTCTGCACTGGGCAACACCTTGGTGTGAAAGACGTCTTTGAGATCTCGCTGGTATACAATAAAGCAGTCTATGAGGTGCCAATGTTTGGGCTGTGGATGCATCCAGGTTGTTTTAAGACTTTCCTTGTGCTGGAAGATGGTGTTGGTAATAACAAGTTGTTGCTCAGTGCTCCAGCAGGAAGCGCCGGTTGTCATTGCATTTACCAACGCCGTTTCTGCCAAGCCCTCCTTTCCAGGCCGATTCTGGCATTAAAATCACGAAGGATAATCACCTTGTCGTCTAGAGGGGTGCTTTGAAGATGGCTGCGGAGCTCCGAGTAGGAATTGTTGTTTCTGCAGATTCAGCTTGTAGAGTTGAAGCGTTCACATTGAAAAGCGTGACATACTGGCTGTTCTTCATAGGGAGGCTCATGGACACCATGCGGTAGAAATGACCAGTTGGCAGATTTTCCAGCGTCGCTGACCTTGAAGCCGACGCCTGAAAGGCCCCCTCTCTGTTGCAGGTTTACTTGACCAGAAGTAGGTCTATCTGGCGTCATGCTTCTGGAAAGCAGACTTCGTTAGGGCAGCAATGTAGACATTTTACCTGGACAGCTCATGTGCAATCTGCACTGAGCTACGTTCAGGTCGGTTGCCGTGAACAGGGTCAAACATGGTTTGATATTCCAGCATTCTAGTTTCAGCGTTTTTGCACACTTTAGGGTAGGTGCGTAGCTTTATTCTTTTAGTATTGTTCGGCTGCTTGAGAAGCTGTTCGTTGACCGAGGAAAGCCAACTGGGGATGAGAGAATAGCTTTGGTTAGGCCACCTTCTCTAGGCCCTTCTTCTGCAGTTCTGTCCCTAAAGGAGCTGCCGGGTAATGCTGTCGTCTCAGGTCAACATCAGACGACCAATATTCTGAACCGCCTGCATGCAGGATTGAAACTATGGCTTACAGTAACATCCTACACCTGCCGTTTCTCCCCTTTCCATTCGCTACAGGAATTGAAAAACTTGGTGTTGGTGGCGTTATGGATGTGGACCTTTGAGACTGCGTAGTGGCTTTTTTTTTAAGGGAAATGCAGTGTGCGCAGTACTGACCCTACCTTTTACTGCCGTGGTTCATCTGTCATAGCCTAGCGAGCTGGGTCGGTAACATCGAGGTAACAGCGTAGGTTTTACATCAGATTGTCCTGCCAAGACAGTTGAACTCCATCAGCTCCTGTTATGTAATAGCTATTTAACTCATAGTGACCCCCTAAACAGGTACTATCATTACTGGACAAGGTGAACCTGGAAGCAATGGTAATTGAGAAGTCACTCTACTCTCCCCAAAACTCTGACACTTCCAGACCAGAGCCTTACCAGCGTTTGCAGTTTAATGCCTTATCCAGGTTATATATATATATATATATATATATATATATATATATATATATATATATATTACAGGTAACATTCAATACCCCATATGATATATGGCCATTTCTTCCAGAACATGCTTGTCAACACTAAGGATTTATATTTAAAATATCTTACGTACAAAGAACATTTACATTTATATATATATATATATATATATATATATATATATATATATATATATATCACTGAAATTTTCTTACTGATCTGCGCAATGTAAACAAACTGGCGCCATATTTGTTATCACCACGGTGATTTGAGCGTGCCAAATTATTAGAAAGGTTTAGTAAAATTCCCAGAATTGAATAAAAGAAACGAATATTTGTGATCAAAAGAAGCTAATAAATAAGATAATCAGACAAATAATAACAGATACAAAAAAAGGCACAGTTTTAAACAAATTAATAGAGAATGTGCTTTCCCTTTTTTCAAATTACTTGAAGAAGTCGACGATCCATAGAATTTGTTAATTGTAGGATGTCATCTGCTGTCATGCCACGAGATATGTCAAGAATTGCTTCCCATAACTCAGCGTTGCCCCTGAATTGTCGTCCGTTGGCGTACAGTCTTCGCTTCATGATGCTCCAAATGTTTTCGATTGGGTTCAGATCCCGAGAATTTGCTGGCCACTTCCTTTTTCATCGAAGCCTAACTGTTTCAAATATTCAGTAATCTTGTGAGCAGCATGTGAGGGAGCATTATCTTGCATAAAAGCAATGGCCCTTCTGAAGGCAACTCTTTGTCTTTTCATCCACGGTTCAAGATGCTCCTTCATAAACGCTGTGTATGCATCAGCTGTCATTTTGTCGCCATCTGGTACTCTCCATGGGCCCATTAATGTTTTTTCCAATAATACCACCTCAGATCATTATGCCTCAACCGCCTTGTTGGCGTCTCAAACGCTGATGGCGATTCTGTCCGTTCATTACCCAGCCTTTGGACCATCTATCTGGCCCATCAAGTGTTGCTCGAGTTTCGTCTGTGAAGAAAACTTTAGAGAAGTCAATCTTCATATTGTCCTCGGCCCATTTCAATCGATTTTGAATGTGATTTCTCGTCAACGGAGGCTTCGATACAGGTTTGACTGTTGTTGCTATTTCCCTCAGATATTGACACCGAGTACTTTTAGACACAGTAGGATCCCCAATGCGACTGAAAAGCTCTTGACTGGTAAGTCCAGGGTTCTTCATGGCCTCTCGTTTAAGTCCTGAGATGAGACGACGTGAAATAACCCTCGGCTTGCATTTATCTGCCCTTTTGGGTACTTGTGTAGGGTCGGCGGTGAACTTTTTCACTGTTTGATGACACTTCCCTATCATTTTTGAAATTTCTCGGGTAGATTTATATTTTGAGAGTTCTGAGGTGATAGTTTTCTTTTCAGCATCACTTCAACTGCCTTTACGGCCCATCTTTTCACTAAATTCTTACACTTTTCTAATAATTTGGCACGCTCAAATCACTGTGCTGATAACAAATATGGCGCCAGTTTGTTTACATTGCGCAGATCAGTAAGAAAATTTCAGTGATTGCGCAGGGCAGTGTCGCCAACATTGTTTTAAAATTTTGTGTGAATTGATTGGACAAAGTAAAACAAAGTAATCTCTAAAGAATTAATGGATTTTTGAACAATATTTTGTCCTACTTTTTTTATTAGTATTTCAAACGTTATTTTTCTCTGCATAAAATTATTTTATTATATGCGTATTCCTATATATTTTCGGGAACACCGTCTATACTTGTAAGCAGCCTCTTGTAATCCGAAATACAATTCAGTGTTAAGTGAGAACATAAGACTTAAAAAATAAATCCCACAATCAAAATAATTTTGTCGTCTCAAGTTTTTGGTATACAAAGTTTGTCTTAGACAGTTGCCACACATGCCATTCTTCCATCCTCAAAAACCCATACATCGGAGATAAAATGGACGGATTATTACCCCTCCCACGAACGTTTTTGCGAAAATGAATACAACTGACTAGGCCGGAATTTGAGCTCGGCACGCAGATTGTATGTTCTCTCAATATGCGTTACACTGCCCTTATATCCTACGGATGTAATCGAATTAAATGTTTTAAATGAATCATCTTGCCAACTTCAATGCATTGCAGTAATTTAACTTTCTCTGATTCAATTTGTACCTTTTTGCAATCCATATTTCTCCGGTATGGAAATTATTTTTTTCTGCTTATTGCTTTAACTTGTAGAGTGGTTTCCTTCTTTTTCTTTTTTTTTTTTGTCAGTTAATTTTCTCCATCTTGCTGATGAGTTTATTTCATGCGTTGATAAGTTTTCTTCGCAGCTGTTAACCGCTTCTGACTCAACTTTATATGTAAGTTTTCTATCGAATATGGTTATTACTTTTTTCTACCGCCGAGTTTCGTCACTGCTAATCTATCTCTTTATATTCACTTTTTCTCGGTCAGATCATTCAGTTCTTTTATGATTTGCTTGCGTTGGCAACACGCGTTACGAGATCGATTTTAATAATTCATCTATATAACCTGTCCATTCAGGACGTGGACCATCAGAATTTCCTCTCCCTTGTGCTTCCATCGATTTAGACAAGCCCCTTTTCCCCCCGTTTCTCTTGTTCAATATGTCATGTAATTGTCAAATACTTCGAGCTCTTTTTCTCAATTATGTATCTTTTGGGGAGTAACTTCACCCCTACAAGAGTGACTGGTCTATGATTATTTAAACAGTACTCTCTCTTACTAAGGTAGAAGATTTAACGATTACTGCTTGTCGACTTTCTGCCTCAGGGCGGTGAGAAACCTTGACGAGTTTATGCCAAAGGCCAGAGTCTAGTCTGGGAGGTAGACAAGAGGATTTAACGATTAATCATACTCTTCTTGTTGGATCTCTGACTCCGGACGGAGAGAAACCCAGGCGAGCCTATGTTTGGGGTGATGGACAAACCCGACCCCGTGTATACGGGGATTATTGGTAACTTTTGCCTGAGATTATGGGGTTGGATTCACCCGACATAAAAATTAGCGTGTCGCTGTATCCTGCCTCGTGGGGAGGTTGGTAAAAACGGAGCCGTTAACGATTACAATTAAATGTGCTAGTCGACTCTGCCTCCGAGCGGAGAGGAACCCAGACGAGGCTTTGACAAAGGACAGTGACTAATCCGGGTTGGTAGATAACTACCACGCACCGTATATACGGGGTCTACGGTTATTTTTGGTCCCAGCCTACGAGATCCGAACGCCCCACGTAAAAAGCGTAAAAACATCTGATCTTGTGCGACATCCCACCTTGTGGATAGGTATCGCGTAAATGTTTAACGATTACAGTTGGCTCTGGTTGACAACACTCTTACTCGGGCGGAAAGGGACCCAGGCGAGGTTTTGCCAAAGTGCAGAGCCTCGTCTGGGGAGTTAGACAGTTACCCGAACCCGTGTATACGGGGTCTACAGGCAACTTTTGCCTGAACCTACGGGCTAGGAACGCCCCAAGGTAACAAAAAACGGCCTTTTGCCACATCCCGCCTTGCGGGGAGGTATCTGATAAATACAAAATAGTTACTATTAAGTGTTTATTATTTTAGTCTGTGTTTCCAGCCGTCTACCATATTACTCTTCGGAATAAACTACTTCTTACTTTCTATATGTGTGTCAACGTTTACTATTTCGGACAAATTTTAACTGTTTCTTTCTGATTCCATGTTTAAGTCGTGTTTTGTTTACATTTTTATTAAAACTTCCACGTTACTCACACCTCCAGCTCATTTTTTTTAAGAATCCTTCTGAAGAACTGTATTCCTCTTGCTCCAAGAGTCCTTTTCATCTATTAGGTTAAGGTCCAGCATTAATTCTCATATAGGTGATTTGATATTATTCAACACTTCAGTAATCTTTTATTTGGTTCTAACATTTTTTTCCTGTTTCTTAATACTTTGTTGCGATTTTGGAAGACATCTTTTGCAATTCTTGTACGACTTCGGATTTCGGTGTCATATTTTCTGTTAACTGCATATCTAATGTTTTTTTTGAGAATTTCTCCATCAGTAATAAATTCTGGTAGGACTTAAAGTTCTCACGGGAACTCTATGCTGTAAAGTTTAAATACATCCGGTGATAAGACATAGGCTTGTTTTACCACCATTGCTATTTAACTTTAATTGTCAATTATTTTTCTCTCTGAATTCAGGCGGTTGACACACAATAGCTATTCTTGACAATTCTACCTTTCCTAAATAATATTAATATTTTGTGTCACTTTTAAGAATTACTTTTCTGTGGATTTTTTCCACTAATGATTTTAGAGCTTCATTATCAAATCCGATGAATGCCCCAGTTTTGTTTCAGCCATGTTTCTCTAGAATGAACATTTCAAACCAATTATGGCGCCTTGGCTATAAGCATAACATAATTCTATTTCCTTGCTTGAACTATGATAACATTATGTGACGCCTATGCACTTTTCTTCCCTATATTAATGGCTGTTATAATTATTCCTTATACATTATGTTCCCTGTTACAGCAGTACAAAATTTTAAGCCACGCCTTCTAAGAATAATATTAAAAAGAATACGCCTGTTAACTTTTCTCTCACATAGATTTGTTCGATTTTTCGACAGCTCAAACATCATATTTTCAAGACTAATCATCCAGAAACATTTTACAGGAATATGACAATGTAATTTATGTTAGTTATCAAAGGAACTCCCTATAAACAAGTTAAATTATACACTCTCAGAATTCTATACATAGAGGGTGTGGCCCCAAATTATCATAATTTTAAATTTTAATATCATGAACCATATAACCCAGAAAAAGTGAAATAGTCTTCATGTTGAGCAATAAAAGACATTCAAAGGATGTATATTTTATAACCATTTTCAGGAATCTTCAAAAATATTGAATAAGCGCAACATCTGTGTCATGTCACACGTCAAGTCAGTAGTCAAGCTCCTGCGAAACACGCTGTAGCCTGTCTTGCGTAACATTCTCCGGCACCTCGGTGTTTCTCTGCTTAAGTTCCTCTAGTCTCGAAAGAATAGAAGGGATATAAGCATGTGTTTTCAAATAGCCCATTGAGAAAATCACAAGGTGTTAAGTCAAGTGAACGTCGAGGCCATTTCAACAGTATTATTAACACTGGCACGCTCAATCCATACTGCTGGTAGATTCACATTGAGATATGTCCGCGCATTCAACTTAGTTTTCACATATTTTGCTTAAATTTGAGTTGATTTGAGAGCGAATTGGTTGCGTTATTACACTGTAACAAGATATGATTTTGGGGGACACAACCGCTGTATAATGTATTTTTATTATTTATAAGGATCTTTGTCTATATTACTTAGATTAGGTAACGTAATCAATCACCTGAAGAAAACCGGAGCGTACAACAGCCGAAACGTCGTGAACATGACAATAAAGTTGAGGACAACAGTTCGAGCTATGTAAATAATGTAAAGGATCGGTTTTGCAGGGTCAATGTCAATTAATTCCAATAATATTATATCTGATGATGTCAAAGGGTCAAAGTGCTTGACTAAGAGATCTGGATTTGTTCCTAAGACAATATCAATCAATACATTTTTTCCAAATCTATAACTGTAACATAGGAATCAGTTGGTATCAAACATGTCATTCGGACGAGAAGTGAAATTATTATTCATTTAATATTAAACAGTCATCAACTGTTTCATTAATATCCGGAATCTTTTCCCCGATTTAAAGAAGGGTCACAGTAAAGTAACATTGGTAAGTCATGCAATATAGGCATAAGTATTGATGAGTTCAACTTTCACGAGAATCAGCCATTCGCATCCTGAAGAGATGTGGCATATAGAGAGAGATAGATAGAGAGAGAGAGAGAGAGAAACGAGAGAGAAGAGATAAACTTAACCCAATAGTTTTAAATAAAGACATACCAAACAACGAAAACCAACTGCCGTCGGAATTATAGAGATATGGCGACTGAGTAGTAATTTTGATCCCCACTGAGAGCTTCATACGTTTAGCCTTGTGTCACATTTATGCAACGATTAGAAAATCGCTATATAATATGTGCTTTAGGGTAATTCGATGTAGGGTAAAGGATATCAATCTTGTCTTGCTAAATCAACTATTCTCAATCAATTCTCCCCAGGCTCTCTATATTTTTGGCCTTGAACCATACCTAAGTTACGCTTAGAAAAATCATTTAAGACACTTTGACTTGGTGTAATTGTAAGAAAGTTTGTCTCACTAGATCAAGGACGACAGAATAGTGAGTTCAAGTCTCATTGTGTCACATCTAAGCCACGGGCTCACACAATCAGTTTTTAGGGCATTTCAATCGTTCGCGAGCTATTCTCGATAGAATAATTATGACTGAAAAGTGAGTTCGAACCTCATAGGGTGATCCACACTTAATACTCATTAATTATCATTAATACTCACCAGACACATTTGCCTGTAAAGTTTCAAAATGATATTAGCTCAAAACACAGGGGTTCCTCCCTTAGATAATACCTTCGGGGGAGGGGGGTTATTGCCTGATATGTGCCCCAAAAAAGGGCTTCAGCAAATTTTTCCACGGCATTGCCATTAAAACACTTTAAATGACCTTGTGAGCAATACACATATAATATAAGGCTCCCCAGATATGTATTTTAGAGTTGTTCTTCACCTTGAAGGGAGAGATATGGTTTCCTGCCTTTTCCAATGGTATTTGTGTATAAGTGAGTGTAGTACACGCTATAGGAATTCGAACTCGGCTCTCAGATTTCTCATTGCATGAAGCTTACTTTTAATCATATAAAGTCGAAAAGCTCTTAGTCCAAGTCTTCCAAATGTGTCACTTGACACAATTCTTTTCCATTTCTTTTTGCCTGAGACCTGAGGGGAGAGGAATGCTTCTTTTTAAAATATTTTCCAGGATAATTCACTGGGAGATAATTTTCTTGGTATGTCTTCATGAACATATAATTATGTCACGCTCAGAATGGCGAATTAATTTTACCAGCGTTACTATTATTATTATTATTATTTTTATTTTCTTTAATTTCTGGTGTTTACACATTTCTTTCCGGGTCCCGCCCAGGGACCTAAGGTTAGAAATGGCGTCATGACACTTTCACTGACAAAAAAAAAAAAAAAAAAAGAAAAAGATTACATAGATAAAGCCCTTCGTAAGGTGTGGGCTGTACTTGTCAGAACAATTTTCTGTATCTCCTTGAGGCATGGACTTCCAGGAATCCCTTCAATTAGTCTACTGCAATCTTTTCCAACCAGTCCTAGGGCACCAACTACAACAGGGATTGTTGATGTTCCCATATGCCACATTTTCGCGATTTCTATTTCAAGGTCCTTGTACTTTGACAACTTTTTGAATATCTTCAAAGATACATTGCAGTCGGCAGGGACTGCCATATCAATAAGGAGGTACCGTTTTTGTTTGTGGTCTTTAATAACAATATC